GTAAAACTAAACATGCAACTGCACATCAACTCAGCAATTGAACTCCTAGGTATTTATTCCAGAGAAATGAAAACTGATGTCCACACAGTCATCTGAACACAAATGTTCATAGCAGCATTATTAGTAATAGCCGAAAAGTAGAAACAGCCCAGAGGTCCTTCAAAGAGTGAACGATTAAGCAAAGTCTGGTATGAAACAGGAATGAACAATTGATATGTGCAACAATTGAGATGAATATCTAGGGGCTATCTGAATAAGACGGGTGGATTGTATCCTTCAGTTTCCTGGTTGTAATATTGTAATTTCGTAAGATGCGACCGACCACTGGGGGAAGCTGGGTAGAGTGTACAGGATCTCTCTGTATTATTTCTTATAACAGCATGCATGATCATCTCAGTTCTCATATGCTTCCCAGAGATACCTTACAGTGATCTCAGTAAAAATTTCAACTAAACAAACTCCGGAAAAAATGATATGTACAGTAAGCAGGGGACCTATTCAAATGTTTAACCTGGGAAAAAGTGAGTTGGATTAATGAAATCAACAAAGGGCGGTGATGCACCTGGAGGCTGGCAACACGGAGAGCTGTTACCATCCTAGGTGAGATGTGTGGCTGGAGACAGAGGAATCCAGCCACTGTCAGATCTCATCCCTGCCAGGAGGGAACCAGAAGGGAGAATAAATTCTCCAACTTTGCTTTCCTTCCTCCCTCAATCTGCTTCCAGCACCTCCTATTGCCTGAAGAGGTTTTTCATAATTTTTTCTCAAAGTTTTATAGCTTTATAATTTATGTTTAAGTTCATGTCACATATTGAGTTAATTTTTATTTTAGTGTAAGGTTTAGGTCAAGGTACATTTTTTTAGCCTATGGGTGTTCAATTACTCCAGCACTATTTGTTGAAAAGGCGATTTTTCTCTGCTGAATTGCTTTTGCATGTGTGAGTACTTATAAACACAAGGAGTGTCACACCATGTGTATTGTTCAGCAATTTACTTTTTTCACTCAGTAATATATCTTGAAAGTTTTTCCATGTCAATGCATATAGATCTACTTCATTCTATTTAACTGCTGCAAGGCTAGCTTAACCTGGGGTTCGTGGACCACCCCGTGATAGGATTCAGGGGAGGGTGAACTTAACACTAGAAAAAGCTGCATCTCCACCTTCACTAACCTTAACTGAAATTTAGCATTTCCTTCCATGATGAATGTAAGTAACAAATCACAATAGTATTAGCAGAATCTGTGACTTTGTCACTAAAAGGAGTCATAAATATTTCATAACATGTTAGAGATGTGGCACACATCTTGAAATATCATTTACTCTCATTACTACCTCAAAAGTATAGTAGTTATTAAACTCATTGCAATATCTTGTTACTTAACACATTAATAAAAAGGCATATGTATTGCTTATCACAAAATTGCTTTTATGTTTTGGTAACTGTGTTTCAATATAGTCAGTTTCCGTCATAGTCCTGTGTATTTAATATTATGCATTTAAAAACGTATTTCTGAACCATAAATGATTATAGCAATGTTGCCAGATAAAGGTTAATATACAAAAGTCTATTTCTTTCTTGTATAACAGCAATAAACAATTCGAGTTTGAAATTTAAAAAAAAGACCATTTACGTCAGCACCACCCAAAAATGAAATGCTTAAGTACAAATCTAACAAAAACTGAACACGATCTATATAAGGAAAACTGATGAAAGAAATAAAAGAACATCTAAAAATGAAAATACTCTATGAACATAGATAGGAAGACTCAATATTGTCAAGATGTCAGTTCTTCCCAACTTAATCTATAGATTCCTTGCAATCCAATCAAAATCCCAGCAAGTTAATTTGTAGATATTGACAAAGTAAAAGTTTATACAGAGATCCAAAAGGCCCAGAATAGCTTTCACAATATTAAAGGAGAAGAGCAAAGTTGGAGGACTGACACTCTCTGACTTTCAAGACTTACTATAAAGCTACACTAATCAAAACAGTGTGATATTAATGAAAGGATAGACAAATCAATGGAACAGAATAGAGAGCTCAGGAACAGACCCATGCAAATATAGTCAACTGGTCTTTAAGAAAGGAACAAAGGCAATTCAATGATGAGAAGATAGTCTTTTCAACAAATGGTGTTGAAAGAACTTTCACGTAGGGAAAAAAAAACCTAGATACAGACCTTACACATTTAACAAAAATTAACTTAAAACGTATCATAGACCTAAACGTGAAGTGCAGAACTATAAAACTCCTAGAATTTAAGATAGGAGAAAATGTAAGGGACCAAGGTGATGACTTTTTAAAATCATGAAAGCATCATCCATAAAAGAAGAAAATCAATGAGTTGGAAAAATATAAAACTTCAGCCCTATGAAAGATACTGTTAAAAGAATGAAAAATTACTCCCTTTCTCTCCCCCAGCCTTGAGAGCCATGACTTTAACAAAACACTGAAAAGAACATTAATGTTCACCAACAGGGGATGGTTATTCAATAATCCTGTTAGAATGGAAGCCTTACTAGTGGTATAGGCAGGATGTCTCCCTTTTGCCCCTCCCACTTCTCCACCCACCTCTGGGCCCCAGGAAGCTGGCCTTTGGCTTCTGTTGGGTGCAGGCAATGGGGAGCCTAGGAGTAGGGCCAGAGAGAGGGGAAGGAGAGTGTTAGAGTATTTACTCCTCAGGCTTCCTTCATTCAGGGCAACCACTACCTCTCTGGGTCCTCCACCTGTGTACCTGACCCCTCCCTTCCAGGTCAGGTAACCACTCCCTTCCTTCCCTTTTGTTCAGGCCTACAGGTGATAGACCCTCATGCATGTGGGTCCCAAGGCCTTGCACTACTCCTCATCTGTTTCCTTCACTATCCAATCCGTTTGTAAATACTCCTAGTATTAAACCCACCTCAAGTTACCCTAAACTGATTTGGTCATCTGTCTCCTGCAGGGACCTTCACTGATACAGTATAACTAAAGATGTGGGGGAATGCAAACAAGACATAATGGTAAAGAGAAAGAAAAATACCATATGAGATCGCTCATATGTGGAATCTAAAAAACAAAAACAAAG